TAAATACAGTACAAAAAATGGGTGTATTATACATGTTGGGTTTAAAAATAAGTGAGATGAGATACGGTGGGTCTATTGGTGTTTGAAAAAATGAGTGGGTTTTTAAATAAGTTCCGGTTAAACTTTGGGTTAAAAGAGATTTTTCCCTTATTTTAATAATATCACATAAATTATGATTTATACTATTTATTTAGTATTACATAAATAATTTAATATTATTTTTAGAGTATTATCTCAAATATTATTACATGATACTGAATAATCTATAATTGGTAATGAGTACAAAACATGGGTGTATTATACATGTTGGGTTTAAAAATAAGTGAGATGAGATACGGTGGGTCTATTGGTGTTTGAAAAAATGAGTGGGTTTTTAAATAAGTTCCGGTTAAACTTTGGGTTAAAAGAGATTTTTCCCTTATTTTAATAATATCACATAAATTATGATTTATACTATTTATTTAGTATTACATAAATAATTTAATATTATTTATAGAGTATTATCTCAAATATTATTACATTATACTGAATAATCTATAATTGGTAATGAGTGGAGCCTTATCTTTATACAAAAAAATTATTTAATATTAATAAAAGTGCTATAATTGTTAATGATAGTATAATAAGAATTTATAAAATATTTATATGATATTATTCTAATAATCACATAAATATTTTATAGTATATAGACAGTATAATTATTTTAATAGTATTACTTGAACTAAGAATTATAATATTAAATAAAATAAATTACGGTAAAACCCCCTTGGACTTTTAGCATTTTACAGTAAATATGAACTTTCGAAATCACACTAAATCCCTAATAACTTTCGCAGAAAGTCCCCAATATTTTTTTTGATAAATTACACCAAACCCCTAATAACTTTTAAAATGCCTTTTATGCCTTTCTAGTTCTAATTATAGCGATTATCCGTAAAATTTAGAAAGTTATTGTGGGTCTTTTTTGAAACAAAAAAGTCATTAGGGGTTTTGTGTAATTTTAGATGTTCATATAGGCTGAAAGTTCATATGAGTTTGTTGTCATTTACTCTATTAAATAATTATAATGAGAAATAACTATTACAATATGTTGTAGGTATCATGTGTAATTATCTAGAGAACATCAGAAAAAAGCTAACAAAATTAATGCAGCTAAGTTAATTTAGAGACAAGTTATTAACTTTCAAGTTGGTGGGTATATTTAAGAGAACTTATAGAATTAGCAGTTTTATTTAAAAACAATTTTAGATCCGGAGACTTATTTAAAAAAATTTTAACACTAGGTGATCATTATAAGGTAGACATTCAGTTACACTAGCAACACAATAATAAATAATTCACATATTTTTTTAAGCAACCTTATTATACAATTTTATTTATTAACACATAGTTTTACTATTCAATAAAATTTTTAAAATTTAAAACATGTACGTTCATATGCATTATACAAGTATATATATAAGATAAAAGGCTAAAAGTGCACTTCCACGTTTCAATTGCAAATAGGCCACAGTAAATAATACGGGCAAAAACATAACCAAAAATGACTCTTTTCACTACAAAACATATTATTGTCTTTCCATTAAAGCTAAAGACTTCAGAAAGAAGAATCACACTCGCATAACACTAGCATTCTCCCCGTCGTACAACATTCACTCCCATCACAGTCTATGACCACCCGAAAACGAAGTCCAGGACATAAACGATGATAAGAGACAATGGGTAGAGCAGGTACGCCACCGAGCAAGTCCATAGCCGAAACGTAGTGCGGAAACTTGTGAACAGACCCATCACGATGCAGACGAGAAGGATGATGAGGGATTCAGATGAGAAGTCCCACGTCAAGCCTCTCAAATATACAAGAGCCAAGAATACAGCCATGCAAAGTGTGTTGTTCATGGTTACGCCACCATATATCTGCGATAATAACCAAGAGTTCAGATGTAAAATATAGTTCTATACACATTACACCAATAATCATAATTCTAATGGCCTTTTTAAAGGAAAAACATATGCGCATTGGACAGATTATGGTCTGTTTGCACTCCACCAAAATAAAATGCTACACAAAATGAGGGGGAAAAGGAAAAAAATATCTAATTTAGGAGAAAGCCTGGCCACTTAGTCCTAGGTGGTTGAACCACAAACACAACATAATAATGTCTTATCTACTGCCTGGGACAGCAGCCTGGATGAAAATATTAGCATAATTGAATTGGATCAACAAAGTTACACAACAATGCACCCCCAGAAACTGCATAAAATGGCCAACATACTACGTCTAACTGGAAAGCCATCTAATAACTAGATACATTATACTGAAGAATGAAGGTAGAGGAAGGAAAAGCATAGCATGAAGGAATCAGAAGCAAGTATCAGGCCTTGTGCAAGCAATCTATTACTAAAAAAATACTGATCCTAGTTGTGTTTCATTTCAGGTAAACACTTAACATTCAGGGAACAACTATGTAATCCAACGAGGATGACTTAAAAGACCAATAATCCACTTGTCATTAAAGGGCTGTTTGGTTGCATATATTTTGAGAGGAAAAGTGGGAAGCTTTGCCAAATAGTGTGGTCACAAGTAACTCTCCCGACTTTTCCTTGTTTGGTTGCATCTTTCTAGAAAGCATGAAAATGTTGTCACCTGCTAACCCCACAAATCCAAGTCACTTCAAAATGAGAGGATTTTGGTGGAAAAGTGAAAATCTTCCATGAATCCAATGAATTCCAAGCCTAACAAAGAAAACACTTAATTGGAAAGTGCCTACGTGGATGTCCACTTTCCAGATCGTGCATATATCCTCCATTTTCACAAAAAACACCCAAACATGCCCTAAAGTACTTAAAGAGTGCATATTCATTCTATTAATGCGACCAAGGACTACTTAAAAGCCGAAGAGTCCAACTGTCATGGGTGCGCCAGGGTTTCATTTTCTTTCTATTGATGTGAAAAAGTTATAAGGATAAGAACTTTACAAAAATCACATAAACAGAAGGTGAGAGGAAATTTGATGGAAATCTATACGAGAAGTCAGATGACTTTGAAGTTCCCAAAACTATGACAAGGACGGTTGCATCATTGGCTGCAATAAGCTCCAAAAACATATGAATATTGCATAGATGATGGAATATAATGACTGAAATATCCGTCATCTATGCAGCAATTAACACTGAATTTAAAAGACAGGAAATGAAAGTTAATAATGACAAAAAATGGTAAAAACAACATTGAACAGCCCCACATAGGAAACAGTGAAGAAAAATGTCACGCATCTCATGCTATCATCAAAATAAGGCTTGTTCAGCATAACCCTGTTTGCACCTGCACATTGTGGAACTAGCAGCAGAAGTTGACAGGTTAAGATTCAGCAGGCAAACTGGGTGGCGGTCGACCGGCCCGGTCGATCGCATTCGTGCACATTGTTCACTGGGCTTCAGCATTGGTGGCGGTCGACCGGACCGATCGACCGCCGAAGTGAGGGCTTCTATTGTTGGAGTCTATTTGAGAGATCTTTTGGTCTTATTTGAGGGTTTTGGGTAAGATTTGTAACCCTAACTTGTACTCCCCTTTGATTTGAATAGTAAAGCTTCCCTCTCCTTGCCCCGTGGACGTAGGCATATTGCCGAACCACGTATATCTTGTGTTTGTGCTGTGATTGGTTGGCTTGCATTGGTTTGTGGTCTACTATTTTCTTGTGTGTGCTTTTGATTTGTCTATTTAGGGCTTCCGCGGCGCACAACAAGTGGTATCAGAGCTCCGGGTTGGATTTGGGAGTTTATTCGAAGGATTCATTGTTGGGTTCTTGTTGGAAGAGTAGATCTACAATATGGTTGAAACAAGCAATGCTAGTTCAAGTGCTACTAGTACATCGGCGTCGGCTTTGACAAAGGCGATCCAAAATTTGAGCATCAATAATACTAAAATTGATGTCCCAAAGTTCGAGATGTGATGAATGAGACGTCGGCAAAGAGATTGTGGGAAACGCTCAATGAAAAATATTTGACGAAGAGCATTGAGAATAGGCTTCATTTGAAGAAGAGGTTCTACCAATTCAAGATGAAGAGAGGGGTTTCCATTCGGGAGCATGTCAATAACTTTACAAAGCTTATTTCGGATATGGCCAATGTTGATATCATGGTGGAGGATGAAGACAAGGCGATGTTACTATTGTGTTCGTTGCCGGATGATGAATTTAGTACATTTGTTCTCACTATGATAAATGGGCGAACTACAGTTAGCTACAAGGAGGTAACCTCGGCATTGGTGAATTATGAGCTGAGGAAGAATGATTGTGAGCCCTCCGAGAAGGCATCGGGTGATGCACTTGCAGTTCGAGGCCGTAGTCCAAACCGCCAAAAGTTCAACCGCTCAAAATCAAAAAATAGGGGTGGCCATAAAAGTGTTGGTAGAAATCAATGTGCCTTTTGCAAAGAAGAGGGACATTGGAAGAATGAGTGCCCAAAGTTGAAGGATAGAGCCGGGAAGCAAAGGGGGAAAGCTATACAAGCTTCAGAGGTGAATGTTGCTAAGGTTGTTGGCGACATTTCAGATTCGGATTCTTCCGGTTATTCTTGTCCCGCACTGCCGTCAGTTTGTTATGCCGACTCTACGGAGTGAATGCTTGATTCGGGAGCTACATTTCATATTTTCCCTAAGAGGGATTGGTTTACCAACTTTGAGGAGATGAAGAGAGGAGACGTGGTACTCATGGGAAACGATCACGTTTGTCCTATTAGTGGGATTGGCTCAGTCAGAATCAGAATGCATAACGGGGTGACTAGGGAATTGAAAGATGTGAGGTTCGTGCCGCAGTTGACGAAGAACCTCATTTCTCTTGGGACTTTGGAGGCATCCGGTTATAGAGTGATATTAGAGGATGCTAGTTTGAAGGTCATGAAGGGATCCATGGTGGTGATGCGAGGTGTCAGGGAAAACAACATATACTACTTGAAGGGCAAGACAGTTACAGGGGGTCTGACGGCTTCTATCACCACAGAGGAGGACACTACCACACTATGGCATATGAGGTTTGGACACGCAGGTGAAAAGTCCCTTCAGTCATTGGCAAAACAGGGGCTATTGAAAGGTGCAAAGACCTGCAAGATGGATCTGTGTGAGCATTGCATACTTGGGAAGAAGACTAAAGTGAAGTTTGGCACCGCAATTCACAATACCCAAGGTATATTAGACTACATTCACACAGATGTTTGGGGCCCTTCTAAGCACACATCGCTTGGTGGGGCAAATTATTTCGTCACTTTCATTGATGATTATTCCAGGAGAAATTGGGTATATACCATGAAGCATAAACATGAGGTCTTGGATATATTTGTGGAGTGGAAGAAGAAAGTGGAGCTGCAGACAGGTAGAAAGGTGAAGACTCTTCGTTCAGACAATGGTGGAGAGTACAAAAGTGATCCATTTTTACAGTTTTGCTGGGATCACGGCATTAGAAGACATTTCACAGTTAGAGAGAAACCACAACAGAATGGGGTGGCAGAGAGGTTGAATCGTACCTTGCTGGAGAATGTGCGATGTATGATGACGCAGAGTGGATTGGCTAGATCTTTTTGGGCCGAGGCGTTAGTTTATGCGAGCCATCTCATTAACAGGTTGTCATGCACTGCGATAGAGGGAAAGACTCCTATGGAGCGTTGGTCTGGTTCTGTGGCTAGTGATTATGATACTCTTCGGATATTTGGGTGTCCAGCTTATTTCCATGTTAGTGATGGGAAGTTGAATCCGAGAGCGAGGAAGGCTATCTTTGTGGGATTTAGAGAAGGTGTAAAAGGCTTCAAATTATGGGATTCACAAGACAAGAAGATGATCATTAGCAGAGATGTCATATTCGATGAGGCGTACATGATGAAGCCTCGAGTTCCTCAGCAGGTGGAGGAAGATCAGACAGGAGGGATATCGTAGCAGGTGGAGGATGATGTGACTCCACCCACTCCAGTTGGCACTGTTCCCATAGAGACTCCTACAGAGGTGACACAGGAAGGAGTTGAGATGACAGTCGAGCATTTGGGGGATACAGTGGATGATGGGGCTCAGGAGCAGGGTCATGCTCAGGGATCCATTGCAGCAGATAGACCGAGGAGAGAGATTCGTCGGCCAGCTAGATATGATGATGTCATGGTGGCATATGCTTTATCGGTGGAGGTCGTTGATGATCTTATTCCTGCCACATTCAGGGAGGCAGAGTCCAGCTCTGATTCCATTAGGTAGAGAAATGCTATGGAGGAGGAGATGCAATCTCTTCAGAAGAACGACACTTGGGAACTTACAAAGCTACCGAATGGTAAGAAAGCTATTGGTTACAAGTGGGTGTATGCTAAGAAGGAGGGATCTTCTATTGGGGACATTCGGTTCAAGGCCAGATTGGTTGCTAAGGGATATGCACAGCTTGAGGGCGTTGATTACAACGAGGTGTTTTCACCCGTTGTGAAGCATTCGTCGATTCGGATACTATTGGCATTGGTGGCACAGCTGGACTTAGATTTGGTCCAAATGGACGTGAAGACGGCCTTTCTACATGGAGACTTATACGAGGAGATCTACATGACACAACCTATGGGGTTCAAAGCTGCAGGAAGAGAAGATTTGGTGTGCAAATTGAAGAAATCTCTTTATGGACTGAAGCAATCACCGCGACAGTGGTACAAGAGATTTGATAGCTTTATGATTGGCCGAGGGTACACGAGGAGCCCTTATGACCCGTGCGTTTATATGCGCAAGCTACAGGATGGTAAGCACATTTATCTGTTATTGTATGTTGATGATATGCTCATAGCTTCCAGGAACACTTCAGCTATTGGGAAATTGAAAAAGGAGCTGTCATCTGAATTTGTGATGAAGGACCTGGGAGAAGCTAAGAAGATACTGGGTATGGAGATTGAGAGAGACAGGGTGAAGGGGAGATTGAAGCTAACACAGAGGAGTTACTTGCAAAAGATGCTGAAGAAATTCAGTTTTGAGGGTAATACCAAGGTGGTGAGTACTCCATTAGCTCCCCACTTTAAGCTTTCAGCTTTGATGTCACCAGTTTCAGTGGAGGATAGGGACTACATGTCCAAGGTTCCATACGCCAGCGTAGTGGGTAGCTTGATGTATGCTATGATGTGTACTAGTGTGAAGGAGGCTTTGCGGCTACATGGCTTGTTGGATGATTTGGGGATTGCACAGGAGACCATTCAGGTATATTGTGATAGTATGTCAGCTATCTATTTGGCGAAGAACAAAGTCTATCATGCACGCACAAAGCACATTGATGTCAGATTTCACTTTGTACGTGACGTATTAGATGATGGTGATGTCACTATGAAGAAGGTCCACACTAAGGATAACCCTGCTGATATGTTGACCAAAGTTGTACCAGGTGTGAAGTTTGGTCATTGTTTGAACTTATTGAACATTCTTCGTTGTTGAGGCCGTTGGCGGCCATTTGGGTGAACTACGTTCGGTTTGATTCCTTGGGCAAGAGGATACGTAGGCAGTCTTACAGATGCAGCCGGTTGAGTTGATTGGGGGTGCTTTGGTGTCGGCTCAGTTTTGTTAAACGTTCGTCGAGGTGGAGATTTGTGGAACTAGCAGCAGAGGTTGACAGGTTAAGATTCAGCAGGCAAACTGGGTGGCGGTCGACCGGCCCGGTCGACCGCATTCGTGCACATTGTTCATTGGGCTTCAGCATTGGTGGCGGTCGACCGGACCGGTCGACCGCAGAAGTTTTTGCTCGGTGGTCGGTCGACCGGGTCGGCTAACTAACTCAACTCATTTGATGATGCCAATATATTGTGCGAAAAGAATCCTGTAAATTTTGTAGAATTGGCAGCAGTTTGGATTTCAGGCTCAGGATTCAGGTTGACTGGGTGGCGGTCGCCCGGCCCGGTCGACCGCATTCGTGCACATTGTTCACTGGGCTTCAGCATTGGTGGCGGTCGACCGGTCCGGTCGACCGCAGAAGTTTCTGCTCGGTGGTCGGTCGACCGCCGAACTCTCTGGAGTTTGGGTCTCTTGCTGGATGGTGGGCGGTCGACCGGTCCGGTCGACCGCCGCTGCGGGTTTCGGTTGGGTTCTGTTTCCAGACCCGTTTCGTTTGTAAGTTGTATATAAACCCTAAACTCGTTTCTAGGGAAAAGCTTTGGTAAGTTTGAGCTGCTGAAAGGGGATTAAGAGGACTTCTATTGTTGGAGTCTATTTGAGAGATCAATTGGTCTTGTTTGAGGGTTTTGGGTAAGATTTGTAACCCTAATTTGTATTCCCCTTTGATTTCATTAGTAAAGCTTCCCCCTCCTTGCCCCGTGGACGTAGGCACATTGCCGAACCACGTATATCTTGTGTTCTTGCTGTGATTGGTTGGCTTGTGTTCACTTGTGGTCTACTATTGTTCTTGTGTGTGCTTTTGATTTGTCTATTTAGGGCTTCCGCGGCGCACAACACACATCTACAGCATGCTAAACAATATAGTGCTCAATGTAGCATGGCCGAGGATGCACAAACAAAGAAATGCTTGGATTATTGACTTATGTCCAAGATAAACAGGAGGGAATATGAAAGGGAACAACATTTTTTGTATACATGGTTTCATTTGAGCAACAAAGCACTAAGAATTATTCACAAAGTCAATCCCAAAAGTGAAGTGTCTTGGTCATGGTTTTTGTTCCTTGTCAATCTCTCTCCCCCCCCCCTGAGGTATGATACACTAAATGCATCAAAAAACAAATCCATCTGCTGATGCAGAACCGAGAAATTAGATGCTTCCCAGAAATTAATATTCACTATATTTAAAAGTTATTCATTCTTTGCTTCTACAACAGAAAATACTGCGATAAACACTATTCATAGGCGAGAAATTATTTACAGGTGTCCAAGGGATATAACAGCTAGAACATAAGAAACCATCTCCACCATAATTATGGATAACAAAATGGGTATCAATAATATAAATAAAAAATGTCAGAAGTATATTTTATGACAAATAACCATAAGTTTTACTCAACTAAGAACAATCTAGTCCTGGAAAGCAAAAGCTCCCAACTAGAGAGAGAAAGAGAGAGAGGGAGAGAGAGAGAGAGAGAAGCAAACCTCAGAGAATGTTAGTGAAGCCGTTCTTTGCTTCTTTCGGCTGGCAAAAATAAGTGCCGAAACAGCCTCGCTAGAGTTAGTAGCTAAAGGCATTGCGATAAAAGAGATGAAGAATGAAGGTATCTTTGTAGCAACTGAAAAATTGTCAACAGCATCTACAAGAGGATCGGCAAATGCAGCTGCCATCGCAGTTCCCAGCAATAATAGCAAGAGAGCTTTGACAGATATCCAAGTAGGATTTTCAACAGTCTCTACAGTCTCATCACTTTTTTCGATCAACATGTTATGTTCATCCTTTGTTCTCTGCACATATTGCGATAAGAACACATGTAATTCTAGAGTTTGGTTCAGCCATGACATATCACCAAACAACTTACCTTATGGAAATCATGCATGAACTTCTTGGAGTAAACACCAGAAGCTCCAACTGTGTGTTTGGCCTCTTTAATCCATCTAGAGATTCCATTAATGAACTCTGCTTCGTCAACATTTTCATTGCCCGATGTATCAAACTCATCCATCACTTTATTTACAGCATCATCTCTATCCAAGTCTATTTCATCAAATTGGACTCCTATGATAAAGGCTCTTAACTCAGCACGTGACAGTGCCTGGCTTGAATCCAAATCAATTTTACGAAACAACCTGTCACGAAATATACAGGGAAGTTAGCGCAGTGGAATGCTATTCAAATGCTAGTCAGAAGGAACATTGTGTGCAATAAGATCATACTTTTTAATTACAGGTACATTAGGTTCTCCTTCACTGGTTAAAAGACGCCCGAGAGCTGACATTTGGGCATGCCTTAGAATACCTGAAATCACATGCTTATGCTTTGCATACGCTAGTCTTCTCTTCTGAATCCATGGCTGAAAGACCTATTATAACACAAAAAATATATATAATAACATGAAAAATAAAAAGGATTTTGTTTTCCCATTTCCATATGAGTTTCCTTTGACTCTTGGATTTTGTTTTTCCATTTCCATATGAGTTTCCTTTGACTCTTGGCTTTAATGTCTGCCTTGAAGTTGAATATAATACCATATTGCAAACATAACATCCTTTTCAACATCCTTTTCCTTCTAAATGTGTTCCGCAATTTAGGAGAGTTTGGAAGAAGCATGCCAATTAGTACTTAGGATTATGGTGAGCCCCTCACTTGTCCATAGTTTTCTTGCCTAAGCGCTAAGAGTATTGACATCAACTCATCAACCAATTAGAACTTTGTCAATCCTTGATGGAGCCTTGATCCGTAGCTGACCCTATTTTGATGGAAAAAGATGAATTTTTTTCCCCGTTTGCTAAGAGAAAAGGCTTAGATGATGATGATAGAGATAAAGAAAGGGCCAATTACATGAAACTATATGCATAAGCACATTTGAGATTGTGCTAACCATGATGTCAAGGAAGCAAATTTTGTAAATGAAGCTAACCAGATGAACAACTTGCCAAAAACACCTTTCTCACTAAGGAACAAAATCTACAAGTTATCAAGCAAGAATTGTGAGAGATTTCAAGCGACTGCTAGGGCAGACTGCAGAAGCATAAAAATGAATCACCAACTAGGCCTCAACCAGCAGAATATACTAGTCAGGGCAGGCTAGGACCCAGTTTAGTTGGTTGTGCATCCTTACTCGGCCTGACTCTCATCAAGGCCTGCTTAATAAGGCCTTCAGTAGCTAGGATGATAAATATAGCGAACTGGTTCGACCCATTCAATCATATAGGCACCAGGCCTAATTGCTTATGCTTCTTGTTTTTCACCTCTCATGTTAAGTTTTTCTTCTCCCTTCTACTACTATCCTTATACTGCTGCTGCTGATACTTCATAGGTCATCTTTGTTGCTGATGCAGTATTTCTTATTATGCTGCTGATGGCTCATCTATTTTCTAATTTCTCTGAACTTTCAGATATTTTCTGTTTTAATTTTTTTTCCATTTATTAGAAAAGAAAGACCCTTGTCAGTTCTATGGAGTGGTCTGATGCCTAGATTCCACCTAACGACTTTTAGTGCATTGCTTAAGACCATAGTCAAGAAACAATAGCTAGTTTTGAAGTTAAATTGTCTAAGTATTAGAGCAGCTTCTCAGTAATGCTAAGTCCCCGGCAAAGATGCCAAACTTGTGATGAGTTTCAAAACAGTCTTTACGTTGGTTGCCAGAGGCTCTGTTAATTGTGTGCAAGCACATCTACTAAGCATATCTTCTGTATTTGTGTCTAAGGTTTCAGCAGTCTGACCCCAATCAAATGAAGCTTTTTTGTTTTTGGCAACTTTCATGACAAACCAGATCTAAATCTGCTATGGCACTGATATATAACGGATAAGTACTAAAAAAACAGATAAAGAACTACAAGCTTGCTCTAGTTAGATAGGTTAAAAGAGTCTTTTTTCTGCCTTATAGCTTTGGATGTTTTCTTACAGATAACTCCCTCAAATAGTGTTACTTGCCACAGAATCAGAACTTGCTACGAAAATATCTTATCTTTTAGCTACTAAGAATAATTGTTCAACTGCTCCCAAAAAGAAAATTTGCATGCCTCGACTTACAAGTAACAAGAGGAACCAAGATCTAGAGCAAGCGGGTGCATTACAAGCTACCAATAGTAGCAACTGCTGCCTATTGAGGTAATTTGGAGTTGAACAAAATAATAATCATATGAGCTTGTTGACAAAAGCATGAGCAAGATAAAATTTTAAATTCTTCAGTGGTGAAGATTTGTCTCTCCCATGTGTCCTGAGCTACAACCTTTAAGTATAAACAAATGGCTATGGCTTGGCTATTTTTAAAAGGTGTCTAGAGTATACAGGCTTCAGTTGTGAAAGATTTCTACGGTTGCTACCACTGACATATGTAGTATGATGATTACTTGTCAATGATAGCATAAGCTCTTGGAGAAAGTAACTACTTACAAGGATATTGAGAATTCTACCTAACAAATCTATGCTGCAGCATGTAATAAAACCAGTTACGTGTCTTCTCGCCATAGAAAATATGACATATCAGCACCTAAGGCATGCCTCACATAGTTAGGATAGTGGAGATCCAGACTCCATAACAAACTACAGTCTTTCATTCAAAAAAGATATAAACCCTATCTTTCACTCAACAGGGAACAGATGAGAAATAGAGGAAGAGTCCTGTATCATCTTTCCCAGTATTTTTTTTTTCCAAACAAGAATAAAAGTTACTCAGCAACCAAAAAAAAATTATATTCAAGAAGCTAAAACGGCAATTCAGTAATTCACATGCTATTGCATACTTCAACCACGTTTTAAAATTGTTGGCAAGTGAACAAAAAATATCGTTAAAGATATCACCAAATGCTTTTTGGGCAAGTGAAGTACCTGATACAGGCAATAAGAAAGAACAAGTGCAACAGAAACAATGAATGCTACCAAAACCATCAGACGTTGTCCTGACGGAAACTTAAAAATCCTTGGTAGTTGCACAATAACGAAGGGAACAATAGATATAGCCATGATTCTAGCGGCATAGGTAGTTTGCAAATCTGTTGTAATACCAGATCCTGCAAAAGTGTGACAGCAAACGATATATTACTTGAGCCAAAAAGGGTAATGCAAATATTTCAAGGTTCACTGATAAATGAGTCAATCAAAAGTCAACTAGCAATAATGAGTTAACAACAATAATAGTCCAAGGATACAACCATCATGTTTCGCGTTGTTGCACTCTGAATGGAAATGAGAGATCAAAAGATTCAAAACAAGATGAATCATTAAGGATCAAAATAGCAATGAAATAACAATCCATTTAAGGTGCTCTGCATTCAGGGAAGTCATAAGTCACTGACTGCTTGATTTCTATATTATTGAGAAGGTTATTCTCTCCTTCTGAACTAAAAGAATTCTTCTTTAGAAAGGTCAGGAACACCTTTTCAGATTTTGCACTGTTTCAAGGTGGAGTCAACACAAGGATAGATGTGAACCTTGTGACACAAAATATAATGTTGGATTTCACTGAGCTTGTTGATAAAGTTATGACTTGCCTAGGGCCAGCTGACACAAAAATAGATGAAATTTTATCAGCATGTAGCAAAACCAAAAAAAAAAAATTAATTGGTGGCATATTACTTGATGGCCAACCAGTTATTATGGCTTGGTTGGTATGAAAAATTAACTCAAACTGTCAACAATGCATTTCTGGAGCACTACATAGTCACTAGAGCAACCGCTCAACTTTAAGCATTTAAAGAGCTTTACAATTAACGATTACTTTGGAAAGACTTGCAAGCCTAGGACCTTTCATCTGTCAATAATCTTAAACATCATGTGATCGAAAACAACTTTTAAAAGCATTTATGAGCATTATCAATTCCAAGACTGTCATCTCAGTAGTTTCCAGGATTTATGAGATATCATTCTGCAGGAATATGCAGTCACAAAATTACATATCTGGGCTACCACTACGCATGTAAATCCTAGCATCTCACTTTTGATTTTGAGACTATGTAAACGTACCAGTCACAATTTTTTTCAAGTATAGCAAAAGCTTAACATATTGTTTTTATTCAGCTATTATGCAGGTTGTTTGATTATTTTCTTTCACAAAAGGAATAAAAATGCGAAACCCTATGAACCAAACCTACTAAAAAAAATGACATTTGGTTAGCAGGACTTCTCTCTTAAGTTTCAAAAGTGACGATGATATCATGATCTGTAAGATGATACTTAGCAACTTCCCTCTTCTCCATTACTGATTATCTAATTCTAAGACCATTGTTCCTCAGTCCTTGTTTATAGGCTTGGATTCTCCATGATATTCTTATATTGGTCTTACAAAACACTTGTTCCTGCCATATATTTACTAGTGGCATTGTCCTGGCTATTATCAAGATCTCATCACACTACCAATCTCACATGAACATTGAGAGCAGTATTAAGTGTCTGGTAATGGAGAAATATCAAACATAACATTTCAGAAACTGACGAGGAAATTGGTTATATCACATAGATTTTATGCATGCATATACATGTAGAAAAATATTTAGTTATGTGAAAATATTTGCAATTAACCGTGGCATTACAAGATACAACGAAATATAATGTAACACAAATAAAACAATCAACTTTACAATAGGTGAAGTGGTACCATATTCATTTTTAATGAATCTTATATGCCACCTGGGTGTACTGGAATCGTTTACAGCACATGAAACTTATTATTTCAAGTAACCTGGTAATAATTTGCGGTACAGGCCATTGTGATACAACCATGTTCAAAGATGTCTTTTCTGGTATTTACCAAGACTTGGATGTTCAAGAGGAATTTGGAGCATTCCCAAAATTTGGAGGGCCAACTACTAGGAGACATGTACTTTTATACAAGATTGAAGTGGTATCTTTTGCCTCGATTTCCTTTTTACTTTTACAACTCTCCAGGAATGATTTTCTTGTTCAGTTCCTTATTAATAAGGAGATATGACACTAAGTATGGACATGCATCATATGATTACAATAAGCCATGCGACTAGCTATAGGTCGAAAAAAACACTGCTATTTATACTAGTCCTCCAGTTCTCAGTTACAACTCATTAAATCAGTTTCTGCAAAGTAAAGCTACATTTTATACTTCCACCGTTGGATCTCGGAGGAAATAAATAGAACAAAGGTTTCAAAATGAAATAGAAACATTGAATTGTATTAGTAAATCATGCTATTATTTATGCATTTCCTTTATTTATCGGTGACTGCTTATACTAAAAATATAATTTCCGCCAATAACTAATGTTTATGGTTCTTTAAATATTGATGAAGAAAGATCGACTCAAAGTTAAATGATCTCCACTTTTGACATTTTACCAAAGACAAAAGGTAAATAGGAAATACTTACCAATTACCACAAAATGCAAATTATTCAAAAAACATGCCCAGTAAGAAACTTTACAGAAAGTATGATTCACAGCATTTATGACTTACCAAAAAGACTAAACCGTTTTGTGTCTCGCAAATCTACTGATGTTGAATTCTCTGAGAGATCACACTTGGCAACAACAACACAAGATCCCCATAGTAATGTCAAAAGCATGACTGTTGAACCAGCAAGCAAGCCAATTCCAATTAAAACTTGTTTTTGAGCTTCTTCTTTACTTCCAGAAAGTCCAGATACTGCACATGGTAATGAGTACAAGTTTAGTCACTATTATTACAAATATATCAATGAATATATTAACAGTAAACCTTCACCTTATCTGAATTGAAAATGATGGGGTAAACATAAGAACTGCTGAGCATATCATTAATATTCAAAGGTTCATGGAACCCTGATGTTGCACCGCAATATAATAAAACTAAAAAAATATTAAAATCAAAACACATTTGTTCTGTCACGATTCAAACGAAGATGTTAAAAACAAAACTCATTACTCCAGAGTAGTAATTCCAGAGATTACTTTTCGAATATTTTCTTGGTGATATGGATTCAAATGTCTCCACGCAGCGTTAAAGCAAGATTTAAGTCAACCAGAAGCAGGCATGAACTTCTGCAACTTCTTACAGGTAAAGTATTTAGAACAATTTCTACATATTTATAGAGAAATTTAGTTTCACCAAAATCTTTTGCATAAGCATCTCAACCTATGTCCAGATAATAGAGAAGATACTTAAAATACACATTATTTTTTGTTCTTCCCTCCCTTTTAGTACCTTAGGAAGAGCCACCTAGGCAAGGGAAAGTGCAAGCTGCTCTGAAGATAAACCAAATAGGTGGCGAGAAGTGACTATGGACACCTCATATTTAATAATTGGTCACTCTAATCCGATATATGTAAGATTATTTAAAGAATGGACATATCATAGTAAGATATACATTTCATTTGAATGAATATACGATTTTCACATAATTTGTATTGGTGCTCAACCATCAAAATGGCATTCAATTGTTTACTTGTTGATTGCATAGTAGTTGCTGATCAGATTAAACCAGTGATTTTGGAAACCCTTAAGGGGAGCTTATTAGCTCACTTGGATGTTATTTATAGTGATTAGGTAAACAAAAGAGTCTGTCCCTAACCGATGTGGGACTAAACATCAAATGAGCAAACAACTCTCTCAACACTCTCCCCTCAAGCTAAGATACATATTGTACATGCCAAGCTTGTTACAAATAAAATTTACTCGTGCTCTCCCAAAAGGTCTTGTAAGAACATCTACAAGTTGATGTTCTGTTGGTATGTGCTTGGCTCTAATGATTCTCTTCTCCATCTTCTCACAAATCAAGTGGTAATCAATCTCTATATGTTTTGTCCTCTCATGAAACATTGGATTCTCAGCTATGTGAATGGCGGCCTTGTTATCTTCATATAAGCGCATGGGACACTTTGGAGAATAACCACTCTTTGTTAATATATCTCTAACCCATATCAACTCGCAAGTCAAATTCGCCATGACTCGATACTCGGACTCAGCTGTAGATCACGAGACTACACTTTGTTTCTTACTCTTTCATGATATTAGATTTCCTCTAAAAAATACACAATACCTTGTAGTTGACCTTCTGTCCTCTAAGGATCTTACCTAATTTGTGTCTAAGAATCCTACAACTCTCATGTGATCGTAATCTGAATAGAGTACTCCTTTTTCCTAAAAAGTTTTCTTAAGGTACCTAATAATCCTCTTCACAGTTTCCATATGAGGCTTCTTAGGTACTGAGAGAAACTGACTAACTACACTAACAGAGAATGTAATATCTAGTCTTATGACTGTTGTAGTTCAACTTACCTACAAGTCGTCTGTATTCTTTAATATCCTCCAGTAACTTTCCCTGATTTGGTAATAGTTTGACCTTGTCATCTATAGGTGAGTTAATGCCCTTGCATTCTGACATCCCAGCATTTAGCAACATATCAAGCATATATTTTCTCTAGGATAAGAGAATTCCCTTCTTTGATCTAAACACCTCGATACCCAAAAAATACTTTTAAGGATCAAAGGTCCTTTGTTTGAAATTGTTGTTGTAGATTCTTCTTTAAATGATAAATGATCAATGCCCTATGCATCATCGTCGGTGATTACAATATTGTCAATATATACAACTAAAAGAATCTGTTTCCCACCATGAAATCTCCAGAAAACCGAGTAATCTTTTTGAGCTCAATGAAGACCAAACATCTGGACAACTACTGCAAAATATCCAAACCAAGCCCTCGGAGATTGCTTCAAATCGTAGAGGGATTTTTTTAATCTGCAAACATTGTCACACTTCCCCTGAGCAACAAAACCTGGTGGTTGCTCTATGTAAACCTCCTTCTCAGGAATGCTATTAAGAAATGCATTCTTAACGTTCAATTGATGTAGTGGCTAATGATAGTGAGCAGTAAGTGAAACAAGAATGCGGATAGATGTCATCTTAGCTACAGAAGAAAATGTATTGATATAATCAAGTCTATAGATCTGTGAATATCCCTTTGCAACAAGTCCATCTTTAAGGCGAGCTAAAGAGCCATCTGGATTTACTTTGAGGCCAACCGCTTTCTTTCATGGTAGTAGTGAAATGAGATCCCAAGTCTCATTCCGTTCTAAGGTCGTCATCTATTCTCTCATTGTTGCCGTCAACCTAGTTAGATAGAGCTTCTGACAAACAATTAGGAACCGGGTGAAAATCCAAAGAAGATATGGAAGAATAATATAATAGAGATAACAATGAGTAGAAGACATAGTGTGTATGAGGATAACGAGAACTCCAAAAAAGTCTTTCACCCTTACGGAGGGCGATGGGAAGATCATCAGTAAACTGAGCACTTGGCTATAGAGTCACGTTTTGACTTTCTAGTACACCAGGCTCTTGGATAGATTTGGATGGTGGCTGAGATTGTGGAGTAGTATGCCTTGTATAAACCTGAACTGGTTTCGCAAACTTGGATGGTGGATCAGTTTGTACAACAGTCGTTGAAGAAACATTGACAGTGGTTTCCCGAGCAATAAGGCAGTCATAGTCATCTGGAGGGTCTAAGGAATAATCAAAAGCAACATGTCCTAGTTTATTCTCAAAGAACGTTACATCAGCTAAAACAATATGACGATTCAAGGATGGACAATAACACCTGCACCCTTTTTTATTCCTAGAATATCCAAGAAAATACCCTTAAGAGATTTCGAATCTAATTTCGTCCGTTAAGGACTATGATTGTGATAAAGCATGGACCCAAAGATTAGGAGGTAAATGAAAAGCATCTTCAGCTAGATATAAAAGGGAGATTGGAGTTTTGTTCTATAAGACAGATAAGGGTAACCTATTGATCAGGTAATATGTTGTCAAAATGGCATTCCCCAAAAATATTTTGGAAGTTGACAATGAAATAACAATGTTCTAGCAATTTCTAGCAATTTCTAGCAAGTGTTTGTTGTTACGTTCAGCTACCCCATTTTGTTGGGGTGTGCAAGTACAAGACGACTGATGTAAATTTTTATTTTCTTCCAAATATTTTGTGAACGAGCTTTCAAAATATTCATTAGTGTTATCTGTTCTTAAAGTTTTAATGGTCTTATGAAATTTATTTTTGAGCTCAGCACAAAAAAACTTTAAAAACAGAGAACACTTCAGAACGGTTTTTCAGTAAGTAAATCCAAGTCATATGAGAAAAGTCATTCACAAAACTAACAAAATATTAAAAATAGAGTTAGATAGAATAGAACAAGGACCCCATACATCAGAATGCACTAAATCAAACGAATTACTAACCCTCTTATTGACACGACTCGGATAAGACACCTACTGGTGTTTTTCAAGTTGACATGACTCACAATCTAAAGACTGAACATGATTCAAATATAAAATTAAAGTTTTAAGGATCGAAAAAGAGGGATGATCAAACCGACAATGTTCATCAAAGGCTGATGTAGAGCTGATATAGGCCACCTTGGATGGGTCAAAGTCCAGCTCATACAAGCCGTTTCGCTCACATCCAGTGCCAATCGTCTTCCTCATCCTAATTGCCTAAAAATATAGTGTAGGAAAAAAATATTATCGTACAATTTAGTGTGTTAGTAATCCTACTAATAGATAAAAGATTAAATGAAAGGAGGAAGATATAACACGGATGAAAGTGGAATAGTATTAATTTTAGTAAACCCGACAACTTTTACAGGTGTAGTGGATCAATCAGCCAATAATACTAAAGGAGGTAGCAGGTATACAGGAGGATAATATACATCGGTTCCCAGTTATATGATCAGTTGCCTCTGAATCTATAACCCAAGTATGAGATGATGATAATGTAAAACAAGCAGTGGATTTACCTATCCGGGCAAGTGTAGATGTAGCAGGAGATGATTGTGTCTTCTTAAATAACTGGAGCTGAAATTGCTCAAGTTGGCAGTGAGTGATAGCATCTATGGGACTCTCTTGTGCAACAACATGTGTACTCTGAGATTGTTTTCCCGATATCTAAGAACAATGAAATTTCATGTAACTTGATTCCTAACAATAATGACAATAAATTGAGGAATCAGACGAACCCTCCCCTACAACTCCTCGTGGACTATTAATTCGTCCCCCATGTACTCCAAAGCGTTCCTTATATCCACCAAAGCATCCTCCACCATGACCACCCCCTCAACTAGTCGATTGTCTATGCATAACAACTAACAAGAGCGCACTTATTGGCAGACTCTACTGTAGGACTTACTTGTGCGGCCTGTACTGCTAATCTCAAAAAGCAATGTCTCTGCTAAGGACTGTATAGCAGGGTTCCCCCTAATCTATGGTCTTGCAAAATTATACGATTGTGGAAGAAATTTAATAAAAGTGAATACCATCAGTTGATCCCACTGATCTTTGCATATTCTGAACATCCCTTGTAATGGAAAAAATCTGTATTAGGTCCTCTGCGAGACGATTAAAGTTGTCATAATGCTCCTCAAAAGTCTAACTATGCTCGTTCATCTTGTTCTGAGGTAACTCCTAAATGACATCATATGCCCGCTTAGCATGTCCACGGCCTGAGTACAATTGCTCTAAGAACTTCCACACCTGTTTCACTGTATTACAATGAATTGCTAGCTGGAGTACTTGTGATTTCACGCTGTTCCAAATTTGATGAAGTGACCTAGTATAATCCTATTTCCAGGAGGCAATAACTGGCACGGGAGAGTCGCCTGTAAGATCATCATCCTTTCCCCGACCTAAAATATAAACTCGAACCAGTTTCTTCTAAAGTAGGTAATTGAACTCATTCAATTTTTGGTCAGTAGTCTTGCTAGAGAGCACCTCCATGTGGGTCTTCATCACAACTTTCTTATCCACCGAAATAGCAAAATCATTGAAAGATGCCATCAACGTAGCAAATAAAATCCTTCAACTAGTAATCTCCAGCAAATAACTACCAACCTCACCCAACAACAACAAATTAATTTTCAACAATCAAATCATCAATAACAAGTAATCACACCAACTAATCAATCAACAACAAGTAATCATCATAAGCACTCCGCCAAGTAAAACCATATTACAAGGTTGGTTTTTTTAAGAGAACGACTTATCGCTTATCCCAAAGAGATTATTAATGACTAATCATAAGATGAAGCTAAACGATTAGCTGAAGATCTATGAAGATCTACTTAGTAAGCCAAATAATTAGCTCAAGACCTATAAAGTCTAGTTGGTAAGCCACATGATTAGCTCAAGATTTATGAAGACCTAGTTGGTAAGCCAAGTGATTAGCTCAAAATCCTTGAAGATCTAGTTGGTTAAGCAAAATAATTAGCTTAACACTTTTTTTATAGGTTGGGGGCGGATGAATAGTACCATCAATGAACATTGCCACTCGCTGAACAATGCTCAAGGGTCAACAGTACCTCCGTGGATGAACAGTACCTCGTGGTTGAAAGTAGTGGCGGCTAGAGTTGTCGGCTGAGGGAGGAGGGTTAGGGTTTGATGTTGGTGGGTGGTGGCTAGGGTTTGGGAGAGATCGAAGGTGGCATTTAGGGTTTGATAGATGTAGAGGGTGGTGGCTAGGGTTTAGAAGAATGGGGAGAGGAGAAGGTGGCTCTGATACCATGTTGAAGTGGAAACCCTTAAGGTAGCTTATTAGCTCTCTTGGATGTTATTTATAGTAATCTAACCGATGTGGGACTAAACAACAAATGAGCAAACAACTCTCTCAACAGTCACGAAACAAAGTGGCATTCAATTCAGCAACTTTATGCTACAGAATACAAACAAGTTTAGATATTAATTTTAGAGAAAAGCATACAGTACTAAATCAAGAAGCGAGAAAGAGAAGCCAGAATGGTACAGTGATTTGTCATTCGTGTTTGCCACTTTAAAGGTTTGTTCTTTATTTCCATTACATTCTTATTAGGACAGTGAAACCAACTACTGCCAGATGCTTAGGTGGTAAATATTGGGGGTTGCTAGGTGGAGAGTCCCACCTTCGAATCTTGATGAAAGCCAAAAAAGAATCACAGACACTAGCATACATCAATAATTCACATTGGCCTACAACCACCTCAAACACAATTTATCCACAATCAACTAAGAATTGTGGTTAAGGCTGAGAGGAAGAATTGTGACTAGTACCTGTTCATGTTGTTTCATTAAACAAATCCTCACACTAATATGAATATTGTGTGAAGAGAAATTATATAAAACATATCCAATAGCGTTTCAATTATAAGTATTAGACTCTTAGTATATGGTACTATGCATTCAAATGTGTATTCAGCTACTACAAGCTTAAATCCATAAGTTCATTTTTCGTTCGTCATGAAGATGAACAAAAAGTCCCGAAGCACCATAGGGGAATCCACGGAGAGTATATTCTAGGAGAAAAAAACATGTGGTCGATTCTGGAGGATATTAATCGATTCTGGATATATTCATCATGATCTAAGAGATTTTAATTGATAGTATTTTATATTAGTTTCTACTTTTGCTAAGATTTGAACGTGATTTAGGGATTTGATTTGACTTTGTTATGGTTATAAATAATGATGTAAGGCCTCAGTGAAAGGCAAGACTATTTTGATATGATAATTTAGACTTTTCAAATTAGTATGTGAATTGCTATGAGGGCGAAGCCCGGGTGTGAAGCCCATTTTATCTAATTGTTCTAATCAAATCACAACCTTTCATTATACCCTCAACTCATATCCCACACTCCACTCAGGCAAAACCCTACCTCAATTCAAAACCTAGCCGTCACAGTTTAATGAACAGTAACCGACACTGTTCACATCCTGCTCGGACCACTGTCCACGGGTCTTCTTCCAACTTCTTCGATACCTGCTCTGGCTACTGTTCACGCCGGCTACTGTTCACGTGAACAGTATCTCCAACGGATTTCTCAAAGACCTAAACCTGCCAGACATTTAATTGCGAGTTTATTTCAAATTTAAGTTGATTGCTTTGTGGATTAATTGTCTCTTTGTTTATAGGTGTGTGGTAAATTTAAATCCAAGTAGTTGAGGGTTAGTTGGTTTTTGGATTTCTTGGATTAGCTCACCGAGTTTGCAAAAGAGCATTTCAACTCAGTCCTGATTCGGATTCTTTGACGATTTGGGTGTTACTTCCTACTGCTAATCTTGCCATCTCTTGACATCAATTTTTCCAAGACAGCAACAACGACAAGAACAAGAGAGACAAAGATCAAATTTTGTTCATCAAAAACTCTTGTTACCTAAAATAAGCATCGCATCGGGGAGCGCGCCAAGAATAGGCAACAAAAGCCCGCCAACGAGCCCAGGCCCCAAGATCTCAAGCAAGAGCTCGCTCCCCGACGACAGGTAGGTCGCCGCCTTGAACATCAAGAACCCGTAGGCGATCACCAGGAACAAGTTACCCATCACCGTCGTCGTGCACGGCAAGAATCCATACGTCTGCTCGCACTTCTCCTCCTCCTCCGCCGACGGAAGCAGGGAGAGGCCGGAGCGAGTACATCCGAGGAGATTAGGTGGCGGGAGAGGGCAAGAGGAGCGGAGAGGAGGAGGAGAAAGGTGAGGGGGAGGAGGAACTTCGCCATCTTCGGCAGTGTGGAAGCCAGCAGTGATCCAAGGGATCGGAGGCTTGATATTTATGGGAATTAATTTGTTAAGCATTTATATTAATTAATTGAGAGTGACTGCATGATTTGCTGGCGGGGGGGATGTGGCGGGATTAGTGGGTGAGGTGACCGTATTTTTTATTATTACATAAAGATAAGAAAGAATTGCGGATCTAAACGAAATGATGGAAACATGTGAGTGAAGATGTAGGTGGCCTGCGTCGGGTTGCTTTGAATTGGGCCGGGCCTTTGCACGACAGTTGACAACTACCTAGGAGTGAG